CGAAATTGTGAGGAAGAGCTACAATAAATAATGAATTCTGAGAAGTTAAATAGTGTACACCTGAAACACGGTGTACAGAAAGGTCAGGTGTCGGTGTTTGATAAGCCAGGGGCAGTTATAGCCGAGATCCTGTTAAGAATATGTCTCATTAATCTGTGACACAAAGGTTAAACCTGTTCTCTTTGTTAATGTTTCCCAGGTGAGGAAATTGTTGTCAGAGAACTTGAATCAATGAGTTTCTTATGGTCTTGTGACTCGTGAAGTTTGTCTATAATTCCGGAGTGACTTACTTCTGCAGGGTAAAACAGAGAATTGAAAGAAAAAATTGACACTAAATGAATAAACAGGGGAACAGGAAGTTTTGCCACAGCCTAACCTAACCAACAGTAGAGTAACCAGCATAACTGTGTTCAATTTCACTTCGATTTCTTCAGTCTACCCTTACGGTGTGTGTGTGTGTGTGTGTGTGTGTGTGTGTTCTTCCTCCCCTGGCTAGTACTGTCCACGCCATTTATAAACCACAGACTGGCAGCCTCGAAATTCTTATTCATCAACTAGACTGGGTCCATCATCTCCACCTCCTCCAGAAACACACGAACCAGGTAATTAATCAGTGATCAGCCAAGGTGTAGTCAACACTTATCCCTGAACAAATTAGTATTGATAGATTTTAGAAAAAGAAAATACAGGTTAAAGTTATTTAGCCGTGAAAACGTGTTCGAGGGTAAGCCTTGACTTTACACGGGGCTTTAATCTGTGCGAGGAGGTCGACCTATACTGAGATTTTGAGCAAAAATAATTTTTCGACCCCCCAAAAATTCAAGAGGTATATCTCCTAATTTTTTTGTGCCCGAATTTTTTTTTTTTGTCCAACATCTCAGTAAAGGTCATCCTCGACACACAGATTAAGGATTTGTATCTCTGACCTGCTCTGCCTCTGACCTGCTCTGCCTCTGGCCACCATTACCTCACCAACAAAAGATATTGGAGATCCATTGTCATTATATTGTTTACCGCATCACTACCTGAGCTAACATATATGGTGACCTTATAACGAAAGGTCAAAGGTCAGAGATCACAGGTGTGACATCTGACACAATATTTGTTTCTCTTAGCTCCTCCTCCGCTCTTCTCTCTCCACTTTCTACAGGAGAAACTATGAAACACGAGAGTCGATTTGTTGCTTGCTACGTTTGGTCTCATTTACGTTGATTCTAGAAACTCAACTTTTATATTAGTAACTCCATTATCATCTTTTCATCTCTGTTTTGTTTCTCATCATTTCCGTTTTCTCTCTCTCTCTCAACCCTATATCAGTTTACTCTCCTCTTCACTTTTCTCCCAGCGTCCTCAACACCACTCTCTCTCTCCTTTATCATTAGTGTGTCTCTCCTCACAAGCACCTTACCTATTAATCGTGGCATAAGCCTTGCTAATTGGCCAGCAACCTCACACCCCCACACACCCCTACCTCCCTCTCTACACACCTCCACTTCCCCTCCCTCCCACCTTCCCTCCACACCCTCCACTATTATATTCCCCATTACATACCTCTCACCCCCCCACCTCCCAGCCCCCAACTTTCCTTTCTGTGTTTTCCCTCTCACTCTCCTCACTCCACCCTCCTCCCACCTCCCTACTCACCTCCACTCCACACCTGATTCCTTAAAATTAATAACCTGAGTAGCTTTTTTTCTAGGATGGATCACGACTCCACATAAACACCTACCTGTGTGTTGATTAGTTTACCTTATCTCACCAGCAATATAAACATTATCACAATCATTTCGTAAATAATTCTATAATAAACAAACATCTCTTTAAGACTTTTTTACACACACACACACACACACACACACACACACACACACACACACACACACACGGCCTTTGATGCGCGATTATAGGTGTAGAAGGAGTGTGTATGTGTGTATGTATGTATGTATGTATGTATGCGTGTGTGTGTGTGTGTGTGTTTGTCACCACCACCACACACTGATGACAGACCATGATGAGAGTTGCATCAATCAACCTGTCAATAATTGCTCTAGTTTGCTTTTAATTCCACCTTCTTCATTTATTTCTTTCATTCCTGCTTTCACTTCTTGCATCATGTTCCTTCCTTCCACTCCCTTCAGTCCCAGTTTCCATCCATGTTGTTTGGATTCCCACCTTCACCTACATACATACATACATACATACATACATACATACATACATACATACATACATTATATGTAGGTGGTGGGAGTCTTGTCAACTTCTCCTGACAGTATCTCTCGAGGCCAGGTGACAGTATCTCTCGAGGCCAGGTGACAGTATCTCTCGAGGCCAGGTGACAGTATCTCTCGAGGCCAGGTGACAGTATCTCTCGAGGCCAGGTGACAGTATCTCTCGAGGCCAGGAAGGACAGTATCTCCTCGAGGCCAGTGACAGTATTCTCTCGAGGCCAGGGGGGTGCATCTCTCGAGGCCTGGGACAGTACCTCTCGAGCTAGGTGACAGTATCTCTCGGCAGGCCCTGAGCAGTGACAGTATATCTCTCTGAGACCTGGTGACAGTATCTCTCGAGGCCAGGTGACAGTATCTCTCAAGACCAGGTGACAGTATCTCTGGAGGCTAGGTGAGCATCTCGAGGCCAGGTGACAGTATCTCTCGAGGCCAGGTGACAGCATCTCTGAGGCCAGGTGACAGTATCTCCTGAGGCCAGACCACGACCACGTGACAGTATCTCTCGAGGCCAATGGTAATACTCCACTGTGTTTACACCTGTCCACTGATCACCATGGAGGGGTGGCAAGAGAGGGTTGGGTTAGCTGGCCTTCCAGGAATACTGCCACACCTGTAAGCGTTCTAGGTAAAGGGGGAGGGAGGGGCGGTTACCTGGGAGTATTGTTACCTGAGCTGCATTAATGAACGGAGGTAAATGATGATAATGACCCATCCCCCCCCCCCTCCAAGCTTGTCCCTTCCCTACCACACACACACACACACACACACACACACACACACACACATTCCTGTTCTTCCCAAAGTTCCGGTTAGTAGCAGGCGGATGGGTCGATAGCCACTCCCCATCCCCTCCCCTCCTGACCCCTCCCCTTCTGACCCCTCCCCTTCTGACCCCTTCCCCACGCCCACCAGCCAATCACCAACTTCCAGGAGCTTATTATGCCACGCCCCACAACTACTAAGACCGACAGACGACACAGCACGGACACCTAACTGACACATTGTTACAACACACCAATTAACTCTTGTTGTTTTGAGTACAGGTATCTCGACAGGTGAGACTGGGAGAGTGAGGATGAGGCAGGATGGATGGAACAAGAGGAGAGACAAGAAATGAAACTAAGGAAGGAGGGAAGAGAGAAAAGAGAGGGAAGGGGAGGGGAGAGAGAAGAGATTTGCAGAAGGAAGTGAATCGTGTTTTGAGAGAACTGCAGGGAAGAGATAAAGATACAATAGAAAGGAGGAGGAGGAAAAAGGAGGTGGAAGGAGCAGAAGGATGAAGGATAAGGAGGAGGAAGGGGGAAAGAAGGAGGAGGAGGAAGGGGGAAAGGAGGAGGAGGAGGAGGAGGAGGAAGGGGAAGCGGAGGAGGAGTGAAGGAGAAAGAAAGAAGGAGGAGGAGGAAGAAGGAGGAGAAAGACGAAGAAGGAGGAGGATAGAGGAAGAAACATGTGAAAAATTACATACATAAACAAACTGGCACAAAAACAAAGACATGCAGAAACAAACAACAAACTCACACTGAAACACATGTACCCCCCATGATACCCCACATGTACCTACTAAACCAGGTACTACTCAGTGGTACTACTCAGTGGTAAAAGTGTACCTGTCTAAACACCTGTAATTAATCAGTGTTGACTCTCCATTATGCTGTACAACATCAGACTGTGGTAACATATTCAAATTAGTTTCTCTACATCTCTTCTGTCATATTCCTTTTGCCTTTTATTATTATTATCATCAACCTTTTCCATCTAGTCATACTTTTCACACACGACTTTTGACCTCATTCGTGATTCCAGTTTAGATGTCACCTTTAGACATTTGACGCGTGGTAAATGAAAACATGTCCACTCACTCTCTCGGAAATACAGAGATTAGTGAATATTATTGTTATACGTGTGAGTTCCCTTTGTTGTGCTTTTTAGGGATGATTTTAAGCCCTGTAGAGATGTTTTGTAGGATGAAATGGCCAACCAAGTAGTCTCTCTCTCTCTCTCTCTCCCACTAACGCATTATGCCTGCATCTCACACAAGTGCACACTGCGGGAAAACAGAAGGTGCAAGTCTTGTCATCAGCAAACACACTATATAGGGGAGGAGGGGGGGAAGGGAGGAGGGGGGGAAGGGAGGAGGGGGAAGGCGAGAGGAGGGTTGGGAAGGAGGAGGGGAAGGAGGAGGGGGGAAGGGAGGAAGGGGGGAAGGAGGGAGAAGGGAAGAGGAGGGAAGAGAGGGTATAGCAGAGAGTAGAGGGGATGGAGAAGAGAGGAGTGAGGAAGAGAAGAACAGGGGGAAGAGGAGAAGAGGAAACTGTCGCCGCCTCAGATCACCGTCACCATCACCCTGTAATTTACACCGCGGGCTGAATCAGTTCGCGATTACATGTCCAATCGGCTCTCTGCCTCTCTCTTGCAAGTCGTTGGTCCATCAATCACGGTTCGATTCACATGGATTTTGCGTAAAAGTATTTGTGTGTGTGTGTGTGTGTGTGTGTGTGTGTGTGTGTGTGTCAAAACTCACGGGACTATGACTAAGCGAGTCTAAGATCCCTTAAGACTTCAGTATAAATAAGACTCACTGAAAAACACTCAATTATATACCACAGACAGTATACTAACAAAGACTCACTCAGACTAAAAGACTCACTACGGACTGAAAGAAAGACTGTACACATCGGTGGAGTCTTTATCACTCTTTCACTTACTAAGACTTAAAAAAGACTAAAAAAGACTCACGGTTAAAGACTCCCTCAAAGAAAAATAACTCACCGACTTGAGATTTGTATTCTCCTATGAAGCGGCGAGTGAGGTACCGCACCGTGATGGCTGTGGGGAAGAGACAGACAGACACACACTTAGACTCTTGTTATTATTATTATTATTATTACAAACAACATCAACAACACCACCTCTTTCTCACAACCTCTCTGCACTCGGGGAGGGAGGGGGAGGGGGGGGTTGAGGGGTGAAAGGTGAAGGGGTTAGGGGTGAAGGGGGGTTGAGGGGTGTCAAGGACCAGTGTATGTCATGGTGACGTCACGACAGGTAGTGAGGCAATCTCTCCTGTTTACATGACATAAATCCCCACAACCTTGAGATAGGAACTGTCTCCTGGGTTGCTAGAGAGAGAGAGAGAGAGAGAGAGAGAGAGAGAGAGAGAGAGAGAGAGAGAGAGAGAGTTATTATTTATTTGAGAAAGATTTAATCATTTTTAGCAAGGAGAGAAGGACAGTACCATGGAAACTGCAGGAGTGGTCAGAAAAATGGCAAATGAAATTCAACACCAGCAAGTGCAGCGTACTTAATATTGGAAGAACAAATACTGTCAATGTATACAGCCTTAACAACATCAACCTAGAGAAGTCGACTTGTGAAAGAGACCTAGGGGTACTTGTAAGCCCGGACCTACGGCCTAGAAAACAGTGCGTTAATGTTCGAAATAAAGCAAACAGAGTATTGGGTTTATATCTAGAAGTGTAAGTAATAAGAGTGCAGAGGTCTTATTGCAACTATATCTTGCGCTAGTCAGGCCGCACCTCGATTATGCGGTTCAGTTCTGGTGCCCTTATTATAGAATGGATATAAATTCACTAGAGTCGGTGCAGCGAGGAATGACGAAAATGATTCCGGGACTTAGAAACCTTCCATATGAGGATAGGTTAAGGAAACTAAACTTGCATTCCCTAGAAAGACGAAGAGTGCGGGGAGATATGATAGAAGTATTTAAGTGGGTGAAAGGAATCAATAAAGGGGTATATAAATAAAGTTCTTATAATATCCGAGCAGGATAGGACTCGTGGCAACGGATTTAAGTTGGATAAGTTTAGGTTTAGGAGGGAGATAGGAAGGAACTGGTTCACAAATAGGGTGGTGGACGAGTGGAACAAGCTTGGCAACTTTGTAGTAAGTGCGGGAACTCTGGAAAGTTTCAAAAGGAAGCTGGATGGATTCATGGATGACAGAGTGGTTGTAACTCTCGACAGGAGCTGCCATGCACAGGCCAACCGGCCTATTGCAGACTCCTTATGTTCTTATGTTCTGGCAGCGATGACAGTACCCGTCGTGAGGAGGAGGAGGAGGAGGAGGAGGAGGAGGAGGAGGAGGTACTTGGTGTGGGTCATGAATATAACATGAGGTAGATCTCCTGTGACTTCCTTCAGTACCTAACCCATGTTAAGGCCGAGGGCCACAGCAAAGTCTCCGAGAATTTGGTTACATAGCTCAATCCGGGTTAAACGAGGTCATCAACAGTTAGGGAGAGCAATTTACTCGATTATCATACTGGAAGAGGTAAGGTCATTCTGAAGCAATAATGGTTGAACTAAGGTAATTCCTCATAAGATAGATATGCGAAGTTGGATAAGGTCAAACTAGGTCAGACAAAATGTGTTCCTCATCTATAGTGAGTCAGGTTGAGTCGCTAAAGTTCGATAAAGTCAGTAACATCGGGGCAAGCTGGGTCAGGTCATATAATGCAGGATCAATGTAAACTATACTGGGTTAGAGGTCTGGTCTAGTCAGGTCAGGTCAGGTCAGGTCAGGTCAAACTCCCATGCACCAGATCAAAGGAGGGAAGAGAGAAGGAGGTGGGATTCAATAAATTCTCGTGAAAATGGACAACATCAAGTTCGACTGCCTCATGTTATCTGGGATAAGGTCAAACCACGAGAAGTCAGGTCCTCTCTGCTGTAGAATTTGGCAGATCACCCTGATGTAGGTCAGGGTGATTGATAACATACCAAATTAAGGTAGACTGTGTTGCTGGCTTCTGTGTTATATCCGGGGACTGAAAAATCACGCCCCATTGTTGACATACCACGCCCGTGTTAACATACAAAACATGTTCTAACATACCACAAGCTCTCTCTCTCTCTCTCTCTCTCTCTCTCAAATATCGTATGATGAAAATAACTACACCTGTTTTTACCTGATTTGCCAACACCATGTCCTCCCAGCACTAGTAGACGGATCACTGGACACGTCTCCTTGGCCTTTGTGGCGTCTCCTCCGTGTTCTCCGTGTCCATCAACTTCTCCTCTTGTGCCACCATCGTTCCATCCTCCCCCGCCCTCACGACGCCCACCAGAACCCTCATTCCTGACGACAATTTCTTCTCCTGTCAGTTCTGCAGCGTGTGGTGATCCAGGGGTCTCGTGGGCAGTGTCCCTCTCACCAGTCGTGGGCCTTACTCCTCCTCCACTTGTCATGGGTCTCACTTCGTCACGCCCTCCTCCACTTGTCATGGGTCTCACTTCGCCACGCCCTCCTCCACTTGTCATGGGTCTCACTTCGCCACGCCCTCCTCCACTTGTCATGGGTCTCACTTCGCCACGCCCTCCTCCACTTGTCATGGGTCTCACTTCGCCGCGCCCTCCTCCACTTGTCATGGGTCTCACTTCGCCGCGCCCTCCTCCACCCTGTAATAAAATCAAAGGGTCATAATATCACCACCAGAAAGACAAATACCTACAGTAATATGGTCTAGCTACTCTCTCGGTTTACAAGGGACGTCACTTGGATCAGAAAATGTCAGTCAAGAAGTTTGGTCTCGTCTGGTTGTGATGCCTCCAACAGAAATATTAGTTACTGAACGGAAGACACTGGACAGATGGATGAACAACAACATGGTCCTCTAAATATCTTCTATCTAGGGGATAGAGAATAGACATTTTGAAGGTAAGTCACGTCACTTGTGAATCAAACCCTAATTAAACCCCTGAAGATCATTAAGCCCTTTCAAGTCTATGGTTTAACTCTTTGATGTTGATATTTTAACACCCTGAAGATGGTTTAACACTCTGAAAACAATAGCTAAGCCCTTGAAATTATACACAACAGTTTAAACCATTAAAACACAATGGTTTAAATCTATAAAAAGAAGTCCATCTCATCCTTAAAAAAAACAAAAACAAAATAAAATTCCAATACGCTTTTGGTTTATAAATCAGACATACACATAAACCGATAATAAACCATTACTACTCTATATTACCTTCTATAAACGTAGACAGTGTAACAACCATGATTCTTGTCGTCACCATGTGTACAGAAACATATTCAGAAGACTAATGCAAGAAGCTGTCAGTGCCACCCTTTCCCCGCCTCTGCCCACACGCCCCTTGTGATCTCCCAGCCTTATCCACCTGCACGTTCCATTCACATTATTCTCAAAATCTCTCACTGGAATTTATGGTTAATGTCAACTTAATATTTTATCTCTCTGATGCTTTACCTAATTATTTTAATTGTTTCTCATTTCCATCACATACTTTCGTTCTTAAATCTCCATCACGACATTAAATTGTTCTATCTTCCCGCTTCCCCTTCTTTTTTTAGTTTCATATTTCACTCAATACATTCAGAGGAATTTCTTACAGATTATTTCCCTCGTGTTTTCCTTAACCTTCACCACAACCACATTTATTCCTTTCACATTCCTCTCTTCACACAGACAGACAGACAGGTGCATAAACTCTCACTCACGCACACACACAGTGGTGGTCACTCTAGAACTCACAATAACACCCACGGCCTCTTAACACCCACGGACTCACAATAACACCCACGGCCTCTTAACACCCACGGACTCACAATAACACCCACGGACTCACAATAACACCCTCGGACTCACAATAACACCCACGGCCTCACAATAACACCCACGGACTCACAATTAATAACACCCACGGACTCACACCCACGGCCTCACAATAACACCCACGGCTACAATAACACCTACGGACTCACAACACCCACGACTCACCAACACCCACGACTCATAACAACACCCACGGCCTCAGCAATAACACCACGGTCAATAACACCCAGGACTCACAATAACACCCACGACTCACAATAACACCTCGACTACACAACACCCTCGACTCACAATAACACTTCGACCTCACAATAACACCCAGGGACTCACACACACCACGACTCCACAACACCCTCGGACTCACAATAACACCCTCGGACTCACAATAACACCCACGGACTCACAATAACACCCACGGACTCACAATAACACCCACGGACTCACAATAACACCCTCGGACTCACAATAACACCCACAAACTCACAGTGTAGAAGGTCTATCATAGAAGACACCTAGATAATGAGACAATATCCTGGCCAAAACTCCCCTCAGTCCTCTTACGTTTCCTTATGAGGTCACCAAAAAGCTCCTCTGCCCTCGGCTTTGACACAATAAACACGAGATAACAGAAAATTGCTTGTTAGTAACTTGCGGCTCCCAGTGGCGGAACTTGAGTGAGTCTCCGAACCGATCTTTTACCCTGGCTGTCATCTGGTGAGTGTGTGTTGTTGTGTCTCGTTGTGGTTCGATACTGTTTCAGTTTGGGAGGGAGGTGGAAGTATTGACCCCTGGCTGTATATTTACTGTTATTTCGATAGCCTTACTAACATCCAAACAACATCTCTAGAAAAAAAAAACGAATTTAATCCAATATAAACCATAATAAATACGCTTAATGGGATCGTCGTTAGTGACTTGTAAACAATGACTGCGAACGATGTGAACCAAAACACGGTAAATATGTAATTTCTTCGCCTACAAAGGACATCAAAACCTCAATTAGTAGGTAAATAAGGTAAATAATAAGTATCATTAAAGGTCAACTCGTAAGACAACACAAGAATTTTTGATGACCACTTAAAATATTCTATCATGTTGTAGATGTAGTCCGTGTTGATAACTGAATACCATTACCATGTCAACACGTTATAAAGTTCCTATAACCACATCATTAACATAACCACAACACAAATAAATAAACTGAATATTTATAATTACCCTGAATCATCTCAACAAATAAACCAAACTAACTTCAATAGTCCTAATGTAAAAACTGACTGATAACCCCGGGTGGATCATCGTATTTCAATGACTGAGTTATAGTATTACAAGAAGAGAGTATAACATTATAACAATAGGTTAATATATTAATGATATCCTGAGCCGTGAAGTGTAGCGCTATATAACCTTCAAATAACAGTAAAATATAACAGAAATATGATGAGTAATGATGTCCGGTGTACGTGAGTTGAAGGTTGTCTACACACACACAGAGCCGTGGGCGGATAAGTGTCGCAGGACCATTAAGTAAATTACTCAGCAGTGACCCTTGATGCTCTTGTTTAAACTCTAGAAAACTTTATACAAAAAAATAAGTAAAATAGTGAAACTGTGACGAATTCCACCATTCCACCATTACGAGAAAAAAAATTACCAGATATATTAATTTAATACCTTGTTTTAATTCATAACATTAGTGGGAGTAAACAAACATACTATTGCACTGATTCGTGGAAGTGGTGTGACGTCATGAGACGCCCAGGTATATGATTGGTTAGTCTGGCTAGTCAGGTTATGACGTCACATGTTTCCTAGCGCCATACAGACAACCAATCACATTGCTTCCGTCTAAACGGTGCTGTCATTCAGCTCCCGACGCCAAATAGCGTTCTGGTTGGCTAGTTCTATGATGACGTCAAGGAGTCGATGACGTGGCCGGTGTTCAACTGGGCGCCAGTGATGACGTCATGACTAGCGACTGGGGATAGGTACAGGATGTCAATTTTATGTTTTATTGTTACTCTGGCATGATGAAAGCCTCCTTTACACCTTAAGGTCACTGTAAGAGATTAAGTAACCTATAATTTACAGCATTAACCGTATTCTTCTAGGAAAATCCTTTATCTTTTGTGTTTAGAATAATCAATAACCACAACCAACACTCCGATCACCTGCCTATTCACTTCTCTTATATTTTCTTGTTTACAAAAGTTATATGACATTAATGACAAACATCTGTACTTGTTGAAATAGTCAAATTCAGATGAGTTTTGGTTATATCGCCTCATAATCATAGATGCCGTACACGACGAATATAAATCAACGATTGTCATTTGTTTTTTTACCAGACGCGGGATTTATTCGTCTCCAGAGGTAGACATTGTCGTGTTATTAACCGCCACCAGCAAGCGTTAAGAGACGGACACCTTGTTATCCATGTTTGTTAATTATCATCATCTCATACAACAGCGTAGAGAAATAACAAGTATAAAGTTATATAAACATAAGAAGAACTATAGGGTACTGAATCTTTCTAATGGGGTCCACTCGGTTATAACGTATGTCACTTGTTTCTCCCGCCCTCTATTGTCAGTGTACCGATTTGATTCTTCATTCGTTTATTATTATTATTATTATTATTATTATTATTATTATTATTATTATTATTAACAACCAGAGCACAGAGAGAGTATTTAACCTTAAAACAAATTTAATAACCTCAATATCACCTACACTTTTAAAAGACTTGCAAAACCTCGTTATTTAATACAGCACACAGACTATGTGGGAAAGACTATGGGAAAGAGACTGTGGGAGAGAGACTGTGGGAGAGAGACTGTGGGAGAGAGACTGTGGGAGGGATTATGTGGGGGAGAGACTATGTGGGAGAGTGACCCTGTGGGAGAGATGTGGCCGCTGTCAACCATGGCAACACATACCCTGCGGGGTGTCGAGGCATCTCTCTCTCTCTCCCACTCACTTCCAACCTCTCCCACTCGTTGTCACTCCACTCAGATCACGGCCGTTTCTCTTTCACACACACTCACTATCAGCTCTCCCATATCTCTTTCTTTCTCTCTCCCTCTTTTTCTCCCTGTCTCTTTCTCTTATTCGTTTTCATCTCTCTCTCTCTCTCTCTCTCTCTCTCTCTCTCTCTCTCTCTCTCATTATTCTGCTCTTTATCTTCGCCTTTTCTTCTTCATCCTTTCATACGTCATCTTCTTCTCTCCTCACTCTTAACCTAACCTAACCCGCATGGATGATCCCGGTACACCCACATGGATGATCCCGGTACACCCACGTGGATGATCCCGGTACACCCACGTGGATGATCCCGGTACACCCACATGGATGATCCCGGTACACCTACATGGATGATCCCGGTACACCCACGTGATGATCCTGCACCCACATGGATGATCCCAGTACACCCACATGGATGATTCCTGCACACCCACATGGGATGATCCCGGTACACCCACATGGATGATCCCGGTACACCATTACGGATGATCCTGGTACACCCACATGGATGATCCTGTACCCACGTGGATGATCTCTGCACACCCGCACGTGATGATCTGGCACACCACGATGAATCCGGTACACCCACATGGACATCCCGGTACAACCTACATGGATGATCCCGGTACACCCACGTGATGATCCCGGTACACCCACATGGATGATCCCAGTACACCCACATGGATGATCCTGCACACCACATGGATATCCTGTACACCCACGTGGATGATCCCGGTGCACCCACATGGATGATCCCAGTACACCCACATGGATGATCCCAGTACACCCACATGGATGATACCGGTACACCCA